CAAACTTTGGTGCACCAAACCTCATAAAAACAATACTGCAAGACTTTAAGACCCAGATTAACCCCAACTCATTAATAGTAGACGACTTCAATATCCCACTGTCTCCATTAGATAGGTCAACATGGCAGAGAGTTAAGAGAGAGACATCTGAATTATGCAATACCATATATCAAATGGACTTACCAGACATCTACCGAGTATTCCACCCAAGCACCAAAGGACATACTTTCTACTCAGAAGCCTCCAAAATCAACCATATACTGGGGCACAAAACAAGTCTTAACAAATACAAAAAGATTGAAATAATTCCATGTATCCTATCAGACTGCAATGGAATAAAGCTTACAATCAACACCAGAAGAAGACCTAATCACCACATGAACACTTGGAGATTAAACAATACACTCCTGAATGATGAATGGGTCAAAAGAGAAATTAAGAAAAAAATAAAATTATTCCTGGAACTAAATGAAAAGGACAATACAACACAACAAAACCTCCGGTACACGTTGAATGCTGTACTTGGAAGGATGTTTACGTCCTTAAGTGCGTTCATTAAAAAATCAGAAAGAACACAAATAAATGCCTTAACATTGCAATTCAAGACACTTGAAAGGCCACAACAAATGAAACCCAAGCCAGGAAGATAAGAAGAAATAACAAAAATCAGCGCATAAATTAGTGAAATAGAAACAAAGAAAACAATAAACATTACGAAGAACCAAGGAATCTAACCAAGAGATGCTTCTTTGAAAAGATAAATAAGATTGACAGACCACTAGCCCAGTTAACTAAATGAAAGAAAAAGCACCTCCAAATCAACAAAACCAGAGATGAAAGGGGAAACAACACAACAGACACCAGAAAGATATAGAACATTATAAGGGAATGCTTTAAAAATCTGTATGCTACTAAATTTGAAAACCTAAAAGAAATGGATATCTAAAGGCATGGGAACCACCAAAACTAAACCAAGAAGAGATTAACAGCTTAAACAGACCCATAACACAAAAAGAAATTGAAACAGTAATACAAAACCTCCCAACTGAAAAAAGCCCAGGACCACATGGATTTACAGCAGAATTCTATCAGTCATCTAAAGAAGATCTGCATTCAATACTACTTAATTTATTCAAAAAGATAGAAATGGAGGGAGAACTTCCAAATTCCTTCTATGAAGCCTCTTCTGTCCTCCTCAGGCAGTGCACAACATGGATGCACTTACATATATGCAGGCAATACACACATATGCATAAAATAATAATAAAAAAAGAGTGGGCTGGAACTTGGAAGATTCTCATTCCCCTATATGTCTCTTTCAGAACCATCTGTCTCTTGGAACAGTGCTGATGGAGTCTAGCTGGAACTCTGTCTCTGGAACTGTGTCCTCAAGCTTGGCCTCCCTTTTGATTTTATTCAAAATGTTTTCTCCAGCTTCCATTGGGGAACTACAAGTTTGACTCCACCTTAATCTTAACAGACCATCCAGTGTTTTCCATAATATCTCATTCATCCAAGATCACATTGTCCTAC